ACATAATTATTGAGTTGTATTTTTACACCATTAAATTGGGTAAACATACAATAAAATAATTATGGTTGCCGTTGTTACTAAATAATTACTCCGGATTTATCATTAGCGTGTTAAAGTCGGAGTGGTTATTATTTAGGTGAACTGCGAGAGCGTCCCTAAATACTTTTCTGCAACCCCACACATTCTATATAAAAATAAATTAACAATCCAACTTTTATAAAAACATTGGACAATTAATTTACCAATTTCTACCCCTAACTTTTCATCATCAAAAACATTGTGTTGTTTGGAACTCTCTCTTTTTACACTTTTTATTTTATCTCTAAAACCAAAAAGACCAAAAATATTTTACAACTTCTTTTGTAAACTTTTGTTTAAATTAAATTAACTCACGTCTCCCTGAGGTTCGACACCCTACTTACAAGGGTTCTTTTTAGTTGTTAGTTTTGCCCGTTCTATACTGCATACCACTGGGGATGCAGACCTCCAAAAGATTTACGAGCGTCTTCAAACTGGTGAGGTAGAGGATTTCAAAATAAAGGATGATGGGATACTCACTTTTTGAAACCGGGTTGCTGTCCCTAACGACCCGGAGTTGAAGAAAGCGATCCTGGAAGAGGCTCACTGCTCTTCCTTTGAGATACACCCAAGAGGAACAAAAATGTATCATACCTTGACGGAAAGTTACTCGTGGTCCGGAATGAAGAGCAAAATAACAAAGTACGTCAGCTGATGTCTCACCTGCCAACAGTTTAAGGCAGAACACCAGCAACCGGCAGGATTGTTACAACCGTTGACCATCCCTGAATGGAAATGGGAACATGTGACGATGGACTTTGTAGTTGGACTACCCCGCACTACGAGGAACTTTGATTCCGTATGCGTGATCGTTGATAGTTTAACCAAGAGTTCACACTTCTTACGTCTCCACGGTGTCCTGGTGTCGATAGTGTCGGATCGAGACCCACAAATCACATCAAGATTTTGGCCTAAATTTCAAAGGTCTATGGGAACCAAGTTGAAATTGAGCACAACTTTCCACCTGCAAATAGAAGGACAATCCGAACGAGTAATTCAGATCCTAGAAGATATGTTAAGAGCTTGTGCGCTTAAATTCCAAGGAAGTTGGGACCGACACCTTCCTTTGGTACAATTCGCTAATAATAATAGTTACCAAGCTAGCATTGGTATGCCCCTATATGAGGCATTGTATGGGAGATGATGTCGCACACCACTTTGCTGGGACGAGGTAAGAACCGCTAAGATTGATGGTACGGAACTTGTAGAGATTACAAAGGAAAAGGTGAAGAAGATCAGAGAGGCATTAAAGGCTGCACAAGACAGACAAAAGAGTTATGCTGACAAACAACGTCGACCTCTAGAGTTCAAGGTTGAGGATAAGGTATTCTTGAAAGTCTCACCCTGAAAAAGGATCATTCGGTTTTAGACCAAGGGAAACTAAATCCATGATGCATGAGACCTTTCCCTATAATTGAAAGAATTGGACATGTTTCTTACCGTTTGCAACTATCCCCAAAATTGAAAAGATCCATAGTGTCTTCCATGTATCTATGTTGAAGAAGTACGTACCACACCCATCTCACATCTTAACAGCACCACCAGTTGAGATCCGTGAAGATCTTAATTATGCAGTTCAACCGGTGAAAATCCTAGACCATCAGATCAAGAAGCTTCGTAGCAAAGAGGTACCGATGGTAAAGGTCCTTTGGAAAAGCGATAAATTGGAGGAACAGACATGGTAGACTGAGGCTCATATGAAAGCTCAATACCCATCTTTGTTCTCATAATCGATTTCAGGGACGAAATCCTGTTTGGGGGGGGGGGGGGAAACTTGTAATGTCGAAAATTTACATTTCTAAATTTGTACTAGGAAATAAATTAGAAATGACATTTTAATATTGCGTTCAAATAAATTTTTTGTCTTATATGGACAAACTGAATATTTGTTCCCCAATACTTTTGGAAAATATTTATATATATACATACATATATACAAACGCACGCACACACGCAGATATATATATATATATATATATATATATATATATTAAAGGCAAATTTTTATTGAGAAAAAGACGAGTAGAACACATATCAGATGAAAAAAAATGCGAGAAAAGAAAACGCATGAGGCTGATCATTCCCAGATTATGAAGCCCGGGTGATCATCAAACGTCTTGTTTTTTGGCATGACTTTTTTTGGTCTTTTCCCGTCTTTTCCAATGGGGCCGACGGGGCCTACATACCAAAATTGACCTGTGTAGCTCTCTGTTGTTATGATGCGTTCCATGGTTGTGGTTTTCCTGCTTGGCCAGTACTTCGGAACAAGGCTAACTATTCCAACTTCAAGAGTGGGATCATAGTTCCTTGTTGCTACTGTTCGTGGATTTGAAGGCCTCTTGCTGGTGTTCTTTGTACGTTTGTGATGG